TTTTTTTTTTTTTTTTTTTTTTTTTTTTTTTTTTTATACAGGGGATCAAACTCTGGACCTTACCCTTGCCAGGCAGGCACAACACCACTGAGCTACACTCCGGGCCCCCAGGATTATCTACTTTAGATAAAATAGTCAGGGAAGATTTCTCTAAGGAAGTGACATTTGAGTGGAGACACCTGATAAGAAAATGCCAACCATGGGGTGATCTAGGACTAGAGCACTTCTTGGTAGTGGCCTTGAGCTTGAATAAGCTTGGCATGGCTAATGAGTGGAAAGAGGGAACACAGGGAAGAGTTAGAGGACAGTTCAGAGAGGACGGTTAGTAGGGCTGTGAAGACTGGTGTAGAAATGGAATTTTACACAGTGCAAGTTTGATCCCTGGTACCAAAAAAAAAGGAAATGGAATTTTATTCTATGTGAAATAGTATGATGTTAGAGCAGGGAATTGATGGACTGTAGTTAGTAATAAGTTTAGAAGATTATACTCCTTGCTGACAGACTGGATTGAGGAGGGGCAATAGTGGAAGCAAGGAATACCAATTAGGAAACTGTTATATTTGTCCAAATGAGACATTTTGTGGCTTGGACTTGGGAGATACCAGTAAATACAGTAGTTGGATTTGCTCGTGGACTGGGTATGGAGTTAGGAGAATGGTGAAAATAAGAAAAATATGGTTGATTGAGGAAAGAGCATGTTTTAGGGAAGGAAATCAAATGGTTTGTCTGGGACTTATTAAATCTAAGATGCCTTTTGTTGGTGAAAATAAGAAAAATATGGTTGATTGAGGAAAGAGCATGTTTTAGGGAAGGAAATCAAATTGGTTTGTCTGGGACTTATTAAATCTAAGATGCCTTTTAGCTATCCAAGGAGATGATTGAATATTCACTTCTTATGTCCAGGAGATCAGGTCTGGAGATACAGGACTGGGCGACATCAACATTAACACCTTATACTGCAGAAATTTGCTTAGAAAAGGGAAAAAGAAAAGGTGGTCCAGAACTGAATCATGAGGCAATTATAACATTTAGAGATTAAAAAAAAGTTTAAGCAGGGGGCGAGTAGAGAGTGATACAGGAAGATAGCCAGAAATACTGTATTATGGAAGCCAAGAGGACATTTTAAAAAAGGATATTAATAATCTCTCGTGTTAAATGGTGCTGCAAAGTAAAGTAGGATGAGAGAAAAATAACATTGGATTTGGCAATATGGAAGGCATTTATGACCTTGGCTAGAGTATTTTCTATGTCATAGTGGCATCTGAAGCTGATGGGTGAGGGTCAGAAAATGAATGGAAAGTGAGAAAGTGGAGGTAATGACTAGAAATGATGTTTTTGAAAAAGTTTGAAGGATGTCTAGTCTAGTAATGGAGTGGCATCAAGAGGGAACTGGTGAAGTGAAGAGATACTTTTCTTTTTGTTTGCTCTTTTTAGATTGGGAACTATCCGTACTTGTTTATGTGCTGATGGGAACAATCCAGGAGAAGGGAAAATTAATACTGGGTTAGGAAAGACGGATAATTGTGGAATAAAGTCCTTGAGGTGGTACTGGTGGAATGAAATGGAGAGCATAAGTAGGGGGATTGCCCTTTTATAGCTGAGGTGTTTCAGTGATGTGATATGACCTCATGTGTCCCTTTATAACACAGTTCCTCCCTTCAGCGCTACCAGTCTCCTTTAGGTCCAGTTGATCTTTTCCTAGTCACTAGGTGGTTTTCTTGGGGTGCTTATAATATATTCTTTCAGATTGAAATCTTTGAGCATGTAAGGCTTAGCATGAAACCGCTGGTGATATTTAACACCAGTTTTAATTTTTGTGTCAACAGGTGAAGCGAAAAATTTATTGCCGTATCTTGGACCCAACAAAATGAGAGATTGTTTCTGTACTATAAATTTGGACCAAGAAGAAGTTTATCGTACCCAAGTTGTTGAAAAATCTTTAAGGTTGGTAGAAAAATCAGATTATCATTTATGTCATACAGTGATCAGTTTTATGCATTTTCCAGATTGTTACCATTAAGACTTTATTCATTTGAAACTTTTATATTTGCCCTTGAAAGTTTTTTACAGTATGAGTTTCTTTTTAGAATCACAGAAGTTAAAGAATTTTAAGGGGCCTGAGTGTTCATTGAACTAGACTTCAGTACCTTATGCTTGGCTCCTTCTTGACAGTAGCTTTTACAAGTGATCATATGGCATTTTCTTAGTAACATGCTCCAGTGACCAAAGAATTCACTGCTTCCTTACAGCCTATTTGGTCTTTGGACTATTGTAACTCTTAGAATGCTTTTATGTATAGTTGGTTAATGATTATTAAAAATGAGAAACTACTATATGCTAAGAACATAATTAGGTTTTATTCATATACAGCATTCATGAGAACAAAATGGATACAGTGCTTGCTTTCATGTGGCTTTTCATTGCCTCAGAATATATTTTTCTCTTAATTGGATTTCTGGAGGAGTAATTTAATTCATCTTTCACAGGATACTCTTTCAAGTTTTTGAAAACAACCATCATATACCTCAGTCTGTTCTCTAGGTTAAATCTTCCCCATTTGTTTGAACTTTTCTCAAAGCGCATCATTACTGTATTTTGTTACTCCAAGAATGAATTCTTAATAGTTTGTGCAAGTTACTTAATTTAATGTAGTGCATCAGTCAGTGAACTCTTAGGTAGGTTTCTTGTCTTTGAAAGTGTAGTTGTGCTTTGATAGTATCATAGTAAATTCTAATTTATAAAATTAGAATGTGCCTCATCTGTGCTATAGCAGTTTCTGGTCATAATTCTGGTGCAGAGCTGTGCCGAAAGGATAGGTTTGGTCAGAGCAAGAGTAAAAGCAAGGGTACAGGGGAGTTGTTGAAATAACCCTGTGACATAAAGTATTATGTACCATGACTTAATATGACTCATTTTTCAGGCCAGTTATATTTCAGGGATATATTTTTGATATTTTTTCCCATATATTTTTTTCTAATCTCCAAAATTTCCCTTTATGTCTTTATTTTCAGGTTTTCTAATTTTGAATATCTGTTGAATTTTTCATAGGAAAGGACTTAATATACAAAAGCTGAAAATATTTTAGCTTTAGAAGATTTGAGTAATATACTGCAAATCTTTAGTTGTAAGTCAGATCTCCCTGTTGTATTATAATTTTGTTATTTTTAAGTATATGGTATTTAAAGTTATAAAACATGAAATTGAGTCATCAAAAGGCTGAATAATTCATCACGTAAAAAAGGAAGTTAGAGGCAAAATTGTGATTAGGGATCTGAAACTATTGAAATCTCAAATTTGTTATTTTAAATGATGGTGATTTCATATCAGTGGTAATTAGTAGTGTACAAGTAATATGTCCATAAATTTGAATTCTTGTGATAGTTTCTAATATGTAGTCTTATAAATTAGTAAGTAAAGCTAACCCACTTTTTTTTAATCTGTACCTTTGCCTTTCTGAATATTTATTAGAGGAAAATGATGAATTCCTTATTTTTTTGTCTTGTTTTCATTTAGCATTCACAGGGCTTATGGACATTGTGATAAATTGTTAAGCCAAAAAACAGTAGATACCATTTAGATTATTTATTGGTTGTACCAATACATATTATAACTTCTATATAGAAGTAGGATTGTGATGGTTTTTGTCGTATATTTTTTCTTTATATTTGCCTTTTTTCTCTCTTTGAAGTTTTTTTATGTTTTTATTTTAAATTATAAAATTATTTTATAATTTGAGTATTATTGAATTCTTAATAAGGAAGAAATTGTGTAAAACTGAAGATACTTACATAGCCCAAATAGATTTGAAGTAAGAAGCCTTCTAAACTTCTTCCTCAAGTCCTTTTAGGAAGTCAGTGCTATATAAACAAACAGTAACAGCAACAGCGAAAACCACCTTACCACATACCTGGTGCTTGCTTCTCTTCCATGGGTAGCATCATTACAGGGCAATGATAGCAATATGTTGTTAATTTAAAAACTATTTAGTACTGGCTGTATACCAGCCTTGTTAAAAAGTTTTCCTCAAGTGCATTAACTTATTTTTGAAATAAATATGTGATTAGTCAGATGTGGAAGTTGTGTTGCTATAGTAATACAGGCAATAGATCTCAGGTTGTTATTTGACTTTAAAATGTGCTTTGAAATAATTTTTGAATGTAGATATGTGATATATAAAGGAAATTCTCCATTTTATAATTGTTTATAAAATAATACAAAAGGGAAAAATACCTATATAGATCATATTTGCCTAATAGTTATTTTTCTATGTTGACACTAGTTAGAAGACTCTAGTTATTTTGACAGACCAACTTTTAAAAGTTTATTTTGGTTGCATTTGAAGAGACAAATTGAGTACAATAATTCACTAAACTTTATTACAACTAAAAAGCTGAGTCAACCATTATAGCTTCTCATTTAGTTATGACAGCCTAATGATACTGTACTTCATGGAGATAAAGAATCTTTTTTTGTGTGTGTTGTTTAAGTTAAACACTCTAAAGAAAAAAGTACTCTTGACATTTTGGAGAACAATTTGAGTTTCTACTAAGTTAAACATTCACCTACTCTTTAAGTCAGGAATTCTACTCTTCGTTTGTTTGTTTGTTGTTATTGTTGTTGTTGGATTTTTTTTTTTTTTTTTTACCAGGGATGGAACTCAGGACCTTGAGCTCGTGAGGAGGCAGTCATGGTGCCTCTGACCTAAATCCCCAGCCCTACTCTCAGTTTAATTGAAAGCATTTGTCCAGAAAAGCAATAGGGCCAGGGATTTAGCTTAGTGGTTCTGCCACCTGCCTTGCAATTTGCAAGGTCCCGAGTTTGATCCCTGGTACTAAAAAGGGGGGGTTATAAAAATATTCATAGCAGCTTCTTTAAAAATATACTTATTTTTGAGACAGGGTCTTGCTGTGTAGTTCAGGCTGGGCTGTGTAACCCAGGCTGGCCTTGAACTCACAGCAATCCTTCTGCTTTAGCCTTTCAAAGTGCTGGGATTATAGATGTGTACAACCAATGCTTTTGGTTGTTTTTGTTTTGTTTTGTTTTTTTGGTACTGGGGATTGAACTCGAGAACTTGCACTTATGAGGCAGGCAGCGGAGCCACTGAGCCAAATCCCCAGCCCCCAACAGCTTTTTATTTATTTATTTATTTATTTATTTATTTATTTATTTATTTATTTATTTATTTATT